TGATACTCGTGTGGTCCATGTATAGCTCCGTATAAACCAAACCCGACTACGTAAATTTTTCGATCAACAGTGAATCTGTAAAAGTATTGTTGGAACATAAAGTGCAGAAAAGAAAGAAATTTCCAGTGAAGAAACTATACTCACTTTATCCTATCTGGAGTGCCGCTGTAACCCCAGCGTCCGTCAATGCGTTGGAAGCGACTGACAACCAACTCCTTACCAGCCACAGAACACCGTGGACTTAAAAAAAATGTAAGTCATGGATAGAAAAATTCCCATAGTTAACTAATGACGATGAGAAAACGTTGCGTAAGAAAGAACAAGTCATCAGTGCTTAGTGTTTTTTGGTCACCTAGACTAATTTTTGAAAGAAAAGTTTCAGCTGATAAGCAAGCTTATATAAATCGCGTGAAAAGCAAAACTTATTTCGGTAAAGAAAAAAATATAGCAAATATGCAGAAAGTCAGATACACTTACTTGTCATTGAATCCAATCGATGGTTTGGGATTGACTGTGAAGTAAAGGAACAAATTAACCACTTCACGATCCGTAAGCAAGCCAGACTGAGCTTAAAAAATGAGATAGAATCCAATGAAACATCTTATCGCAAAAATTTCCAACAATATACCGGCAGACTGGGCGAATTCTTCCACAGTCATCAAAGGGAAACGAATAAGTTGAACGGCTCTACCCAATACTGCCCTTCGATTTTCTGTAGTTGGCTCGAGTCCGCGACGAGCGCATTCTTCTGTCGACCATCTCACCACGGCCTCAAATAAGCGGCTTATTTGAGTATAGCGAAAAAAAGAGAAGAGATGCCGCTTATAGAAGAATTTATCTTGCACCGTACCTGAAATAGCTGTGCCTCTTTAATCCTGAGTGTGTCTCTGGCGAGCACCAAACACAATGTCTCCAAATCTATATCAGTAAAGCCTGAAAGTTGATTTTATGAAAGTAAAATATAGGAAACCCCGAAACAAAGAACTTAAGAATTGACTTTAAAAAAACGACTAACCTTCGCCGTTTAAGGCTTCGAAGGTGTTCTTGTCTATGATTTCAAGACATAGTTTGGCCAGTTGAGGTTCATCAAAGAGACGAGCCTAGAATGTATGAATGTTATAGGAAACATGTGCCACAATAACCGCTTCTCAAGCTCGCCCGATATTGGCTATTTGTAAGATTACAACTTTTCTTGTTGTATTATGCGATACCTGTGTAAGCAACATGAAAGCATTGTCAGCTCCCAAGCTTTGTTTCAAAAATTCAACGCAAGCAGTTTCCATAGCTGGTACGGCATATTTCTTAGCTGTAGAATGAAAATAATTAAATGATGAATCATAAAACTGAAAAACAACAAAGGACCTCCCCTAATCCACTCAATTTCTAATGCAAAATCAAGATTACCTAGAGGAGG